CAGGCTATAGTGGGCACCGCCAATCCGAAGAAGGCGAGAGGAGTCGACAACATCGGCCCTATCGACATCCAGAGGCTCCCCGAGAAGGGGATCCAGGAGCTCGCCGAGATCTACAACCAGGTGGAGGCCAACGGACTGCGGCCTCAGCAGCTCTGCGCCACCATTGGGGCCATGCCCCCAAGCCCGCAGGTGGAGAAAGAATCCTGGGCATGCTCCCCACAATCCCCAAGACGTGGGCCAAGGTCCGCTCTAGTGTCACCGACGAGTAGTCCAAGGAGCTCGGGGAGTTCTGGGAAACCGCCATCAAAGGCTCCAGCGCCTTAAGGGCAGCGCTAGTCAGGGCGCTCCTCGACGAGACGGCGGCGACACTTGGCATTGCTTTCGCGACCTTGCTGATGGACGACGAGAAGTTCTACGACTCGGTCTGCTACGCGGCCCTCTTCGACGCCGCGATCGGGGTCAACTTCCCCCCAGTTGTCGTGGCGCTGGAGGTGCAGCTCTACCTCGCGCCCAGATACTTGCGGATGCACGGCTGGGTCAGCGACACCATAGACGCCGAGAGGTCCATAGTCGCGGGCAGCTGACATCGCGGCAAGCTCGCCAAGGTTTACCTGGGGCCGATCCTGCAGAGGGCCCACACCAACAACACGCACGCTGGCCTGTGGACGTTCGTGGACGACACTGCCGCGAGAACAGAGGGCCAAACCAAGCAGGTCATTGGGATCTCATCGGGGTTGGCGCCGACCTATTCGAAGGCATGACGGGAGTGGGGCTCCGAGTCTCCCCCAAGACCACCGTCGTCGCCCCCGGCCAGACGATCGCCTACGCAGCGCACGACGGCCTCAAGAAGGGCCACCACGTCAAGGTGGCCAACAGCGCGGTCGACCTCGGCATCGACGTGGGAGGCGCCAAGAGACGGGTTGTCGTCAACGCAATCAAGAGAGCCAGAACTGCGAGGAGGCGCACTCACCGCATCATCGCCAAGGTCAGGGAGCACGCCTCCCTCGCCAAGATTGCGGAGGGCTTGTGGAACACGGGACCCAGGCCACAGGGGACCTACGGCCACCAGATCATGGGCCTCGCCCCAGCGGCCATCCCCGACCAGAGGCACCAGGCCGTCCAGGCTTCGGCGGGGAAGGTCCCTGGCCGTTGTCCCCCCACAGCCCTCGCCGTCGTCATGGGGAAGAAGGGCCCCGCCATCGAGCTCAGGCGCCAGTCGATCGCCGAGTGGCTCAACTTCTGGATGCAGTGCCCAGTGCACCATAGGCGGGTCACGCATGCGTGGAAGCTGATCTACGACAAGTCGATCAAGCGCGGCAGCAAGAAGTGGAGGAAGGTCAAGGGGCCCATTTCCGCCATCCAGGCCATCCTCCTGGACGCAGGCTGGACCTGCCCGACGCCAGCGGAGTGGTCACGACCGCCGTGGGCAGGCGAGACCTACACCCAGGAGTGGCAGCTACCCCACAGTGGACAAGCCGACTGGGAGGACAAGCGCTATGACGTGGACCCTGCGGAGTTCGTCCACGAGTTCTGCCTGTCCCTTGAGAGGAGCCTCTGGAGGGATGCTGCCAAACATCCACATGGAGAAGGATTGCAACGGGGGGGGGCCCAGACGTCCACATAGTTGCCAACGAGATGGAGAGGTGCACGAGGAAGGGCCAGTACGACCAGGCGGCCCTCAACCTCTGCGTGGTCGCGGGGGCGCAATGGCCCAGAAGCCGACTCATCGACGCGGGGTACAACGCTACTCCAACCTGTCCGAGGTGCGGCGGGGCCGACGAGACGCTCATGCACAGGGTCTGGCTGTGCCCCTGCAACCGCGACCACGAGGACTACACGGATTCTGACGCCCTCATGCCCTCTGCCCTGGCTGGAGCAGAGGCTGCCCCCGCATGCTGGCTCCGCGGCCTGCCTGCGCGCGCTGACACGCATCCGCTCTTTGCCTCGTTGGGAGGGGACGGCGGGTGGAGCTGGGTTGGGCGGGACTGGGAGGATTGTGTCAGCAGCGACGGCGCCCTCACTCTCTTCGGGGACGGCTCTGGAGGTCAGCGCAGTGATGACCCACGACGCCGGAGGGTGGGGACCGCCTGTGCTGCTATGAAGTGCCTCTTCGGGGAGTGGGTCCCCTGGGGAGGCATCATTTCAGGCCTCGAGGGCCCCTTTCAGGCTGTGCCTCGTGCTGAGCTGCTGGCTTTCGCGCTCGCCATAGAACACTGGGAAGGCGACCTCTGTTTTATCACAGGCCACCTCCCGTTACATGACGGATGGCGGTCGAATCGACACTTGCGCCCCCGCGATGGCGCAAATCAGGATTTGTGGGCACGTATTGCCAAAGCAATTCGCGCACGTGGCACTAGGCAGCTTTCTGTAATCTGGGTGCCCTCACACAGCGAGGAGTCACGTGGCCTCGCCTCGGACCCTGTGCGATACTTTCACACTATCGGTAACGCGACGGCCGATGCATGGGCAGGGGTAGCGGCCCAACAGTCCTACGAGGCTG